TCAAATGCAAAAAGTTTGCTAATGCTGCTGCCCCTGCAAGTTTGATGGCTCCGCTCCGCTCCGGCAAAAGTCAATCGGCAAATGCATTTCTGATATCAAACATGGACTATTTCAGACCTATCTGCATAACCCGCTCTTATTTCAATTCCGAAAACTAGAAAGTTGCAATTAAAACTTCTTTGGCTCCGTTTTACAAGCGCATTAATTCTGTGCAACGCATAACTAATGATTTAATTTGTTCTGCCCGCTGGCCTGTGTTCTCCGGGGGATTTAACATTTTTTCAGACCCCCGAGCAGAGCCTGGGACCTGGCAGTGCAATCCCCGGATCCTGGGCCTGTTTTGCCATCATTAGCAACTTAAAAATGATTATTTGCAATGCAAATTCCTTGCATTCCTTCTAGCTCCCTCTGACAGGCTGGCTGGATGGCAGAAGCGGAGTCTAGAGAATATGAAATGTTTGCCATCTGCATGAGAAATGCAGCAATTATCCTGGTCTCTGGTCTCCGAGCCAGAAAGAGTTCGAAATTAAAGCTCTTGCCGGAATTGAAAATGAATATGGGTCAGGACAAATTTTATGAAGCTGCCAACAAAGGATGATGTTTGTCGGAGAAATGGAACAGAATATCCATAGATCCTGGCCAAGTGCTCTGTGCTCTCCACACCTTCCGAGGTGCTAAATATTCGCACACTCGTGCCCGCTCACAACAACCTGTCCCCAGATGATCTCAAGGCTAACTTTTACCATAAGCGTAATAATGACCGGGCCATAATAGACAGCAACTAGACGCAATACCCACAAAAATTGAAATACAGCTCCCAGTGCACACATTTTCCTCTCGGACAGCTGGGGGAGCCTGGGAAATGGGAGATGGTTGGCTGTTTTCATGCTTTTCCCGCCTTTCTCTAGTATTCTTCACTGCCTACATCGCGGGGCTGCGAGTCGCCCATAATGTCATTTAATTAAACGCCAGAGAGCAGTTGCCAGGACCTCCTGGCCGGGACCCTTGGCTGTTGTTTGCTGTGTTTGCTCTGCTACTTGTATTTTTTCGGCCAGGTTTGTTCATTTTTTTGTTACTTGTGCGCGGGGTCAGCGGGGGCAGCTAAACGGTTAACCAAAGTTAGCGGGAATTCAGCAGCGCCCCATAATTTGGCCAAAAGCGAGCTGAAGCTAAAAGCCGAACCTGAAAGCTGAACGCCGAAGCCGAGGCCAAGGACGAGCAATTTATGTTCATTTGCATAGATATTAAAAATTGTTAGGAAGTCATTAGTAGGCATCAGTCAAATGACGCAGCCTGCATATAAATTAAGCATAATTTTATTAGGCACACTCCCGGGGAAGGTCACCCACTTGACAAATGTCCGCGGGGCCAGCTCGAACATTAACCAAAAAAGCCAGCAAAAAAGGAGGCAACTTGGCCTGAAAAACGTGTGCTCGTTGTCGTATTAATTATTAGTTTTAATTGCGTTTTGTTTGCCCAGCCGGTGCAGAATTCTAGAGTGAGGCTTACATTCAACCACCGAATCAAGGTTTTGACCCTCAGCTGACAACTAGCTGAAAAATCTGACCAAAACGGCAAATCCCTAAAAACAGTGGCTCATTCGGTTGTATAAATTAAAATATTTTAAAAATGTCACATCGCTTTTAAATGAGTTTTCTTGGAATTTAACAGTTTTTGCGGAAAGTTAATATATTTTTAATTATGTTTCGAAACGACCCCCCCGGAAATATTTGGGATACATGCCACTGGTCGCACTGGACACATATCCTTGTGTGACTTGGCCTTTTCGGACAAGGACGCCAGCTCGAATAACCCCAAAAATTGTGTGCAATTAAATACTTTAAACCATAATGTATTTTTCACAAGTTGAGCAATGTTGACCATTTGGTTGCGGATGTGGTTGATGCCCCTATTCCGGACCATGCCCGTATCCAGACGCCCCTACCCCGCCGGGCTCCAGTGTAAATTACATGCACAAGAGGCCAACAAAGAAAACTCATTTGTATTCCGAGACCCGAGGTCTTCCAGCTTAACCCCAACACTGACCAACAGGCCCACCCACCCACTGGCTGACCATCGCCCGCAAGTCAAAAGCTTAACCGCAGGCAATTTTATTATTTTTTTTCCTACTTCTTGGTTTTTGCTTTTATTTTTGTTTGTTTTAAACAAAATAAAAAAAATACACATCCAGAGAGATAACTAATTCGAGTTGCGTCTGCTATTAGCTTATCAAAATTTTAATTGCATTTTTTTCGGTTTTTTGTGCTCCTTTGAGATTTGCCCGCGCGGCTTATCTATTTATTATACTCGGCGAATGTGGTGTGGATTTGTTTGGCCGCCAGTTGTTCGATACATTCCGGCTCTGTTCTTTTTTGGCCGTATTCGCCCGGGAGACTTGGCGTCGTCATAGCCAGCTGGCTCACGTTCGCCGGGAAACTGGAAACTCCTCGCCGACTGTTCGCTGGCCCTCCGGTACTCCCACTTCCGTTTCCGGCTGCGTCCGCACTGCTCGGAGCTGCGATATTAAATGGTGCGCGTAATTAGATTTTAAATTTATTGTTTTGTGTGCTGGTATTTATTTTGTCTGCCTTGGTGTGCATAACAATGCAATGGCTGCAATAAATAAATAAACAAAAACGTGAATGTGAATCCAATGGGTCTGCCCTCTGCCCGATGGCCCCTGCTATTTCTGTTTACTGTTTTCTGTTTCGAATTCGGTTTCTCTTTTTGTTGGGATAGCTGGGCCTCCGGGGGAATAAGGCAACCTATTCCCAGAACAGGATGATCTACGGACGGAGTGGCGCCGAGCCAAAAATAAATTGAATTTGGCAATTGATTACACCTGATTGATGCTGATGCCGCCTGCCGCTGCCCGCCGAAGGCCTTAAGTCCACCGCAGACATGTGCAGATTTAAGAGTTAATCATGGTGCACACTCCACCTGCTGCTTGCAAAATCGGTATCCCCTTTCCGACTAATTTATGGCTCATCTTTGCCAAGCTTGCGCCGCAAAATGCGGCCATCCAGCGACCGATCCATGCAGTGTCATCCAAACCGCAGACAAGTGTCACCGCAGACAAGATACTGGGGCACGGATGTGCAGCCACTGGCTGTGGAAAAGTGGCAGGCAGATGGACAGACAGGTTGCCTAGAGATGGCCTTAAATTGATTTATAATTATTTGAAATTATCAACGAAAGTGAAAGTTATATTAAATGTAACCTAAATGAAATCTTGGTTCTTGGGATGGACATTGTACAATTTCCGTAAAATCTTATCAAGTTTTAATGAAACTTTTTTAGAATCTGTATAATTTAAAATGTTTTTATTATATATTTATATAATAAAAATAGAAGCTTATTTAATTTTAATTTATTAACAAAACCATCTTCTCAACACCCATCCCTAGACAGATCCTGAAATCTGCATAAATTTTTGGGGGGAAGGCCGCGTGAGTAATGAGCGCTTAATAAGGCGCCATTGGCATATTTTAAAGCTCCGGATGGAGGACAGTGTATGTTTCATAATTTACATATTGCAAAAATATTTGCGCTCATTAAATATGCACAGAATAAATGTGAGCGTGCCACTGCAGTAGAAATTGTTGTTCTATAAATCAAGGCTTTTAAACACGCCACTGGGTCTACTGTTGCTGCTGCTGCTGCTGGTGACGAGTTGTCGCAGCAGCCAGCGGCCATATCAACTGGCATATCCTGTAAAAGGAATTACGAAATGGACTGTGTGGGTGTGTGGGTGGTGCGAGGTCCTCGACCATCTGGCCTTTCTTGTTTACACATGTTCAGAACGCAAATGAGCCGTAAAGCGCTGATAATGCAACAAACTGACAATTGGCGACTCAACACATTTGTCGCTGTGCCACCAGGTGCTTAAGCCTATACTTATTTATATTAAAATTAGGTTTCATGTTTCTCTTATAGATACTCCTCTAAAAGATACCTTTATCGTTTGACTTATAACCAGTATCGTGCATCTCACAGCATTTCTGGGGCGATGGAGTCATTTCGCCTTTAAACTCCAACTGACTGAATGTCTACATCCTGTGAACCTGCCTTTGTCCTGTCAGCGGCATTTTAAAAAAATATGCCAATAACAAGGCCAACAACACAAATGATGCGTTTCCTTTCAGTCGTGAATCAAAATGAGCTGCCAGGCCGCACGCCTGGCTGCCAGGAGATAGCTCATCCGTATCAGCAAGGGGCCGGCCACGCCCCTTTTGGACAATGGACAATGGCGCGAAATGTGTAACGGAAACCACAGCTGAGTGCACGGCATCGCCAGGATTGAGTCCAAGTCCGGTCTTCGGGCAAACGACTGGAATCGGAATTCGAACCCGGATCCGGGTGCCGGCTCAATAATGCAGACAATAAAATTTTAACGTAAATGTTGCGTAATTAAATGTGTTGGCCGCTGCCGTGCGGCGTAAAACGAGATTGAGATTGTTTTTTCTTGGTTCCGACTGACAAACAAGAGGAAGGATACACATGCCTGTCGGTGGTAAGAATCCTTTCGAAGATCAGGCTGCATAACTCCAGAACGTATTCAGGTTAATGGAAAGATGTTCGGATGATAAGTAACTTTAAAGGGGGTGCTTACTCAGCAGTATGGGAAAGGTGCTTTAAGAGAATATATCAAGAAAACAACCTTGCTCCACCAAATACCCTTTAATAAGCCACTATTTTCCGCTTTTGTTAATTATTAATCAACCACACCATTCGGTATTCACACTTCAAGCTCATCTCATCGCGAATTAAAGGTCCTGCCGCCTAAGTCTGTCCTATCAGACTGGTGACCACAGAATGCTCTGCGGTCGCCAGTCGAATTCCAGTGGCGGAGCCTCCATCCTATCTATTAAACCATCAAAACTTCGACCGCTTATTAATGTGCGCCCATCAGCGCCAAAGTGTGGTCATATTTCAAATGTGGTCCGAAGGGGGAGGGGGAATAGCCATGGCATTCCGAGGCAGTTGCTCGGCGAGTCGCGATGAGGCAAGTGAACTTTCTAAACCGCTGCACTCGGCTCCTGTTGTGTCTCATTATGACGGTGACCCAGGTCTGCGGGATCACGTGGTTCTACTACAACCCCTCGAAAGGGCGCTTTCGAATATCCACGACCCTGAAATTATACTCATACTTCATAATTCTCTGCAAATCGAGTTTTTGGTTTCTAATATTGGTTCTAAGTTTGAAAGATTTTTTTCACGGCCAGACTACGCAGAACATGTTCTTCATACCAATTGTATTTTTATCGTGGTGGAACATAATCGTCTTGGATTGTGGAGGGATGGTGCGACAAATGAACAAAATACTTGCCGTGCAATATAAATTGTCGGCACTGGCAAGGAACCCGAATGTGTTCCGGCTAAGAGACCTCATGTTCCTAATCTTTGCCATTCAAAACGTAATTCGATCCCTTTGTCTACAAGGAAGTGAGATAAGATTTTTAAAGGAAGAAAAAGTACTTATGATCATGATCCTCGGGATATCCCTGACTTATCAGCTTCAGGTGACCATCAATATATGCCTATATGTGGTGCTGATCGCTTTTTATAATCAACTGCATCGGTGCACGAAGAGGATATCGAATGATGTTGTAACTCTGAGAAACTCCCAAGTGCTGGAAATCGGTCAAATTTTGACTCTCGTGGAACAACTTAAGAAATCTACTGAAGGAGTAATTCAACTAAGGCTGAAGCTGATTGAAATCACCACGAAGTTGATGAAAATTTTTGAATTCCATTGGCTATGTTTGCTGATTTATGGGTTTCTACATTTCGCAGCATTCGTAGACGTACACCAGAACAAATACTACACCCTTGCAATTTGTACTTTGTATTTAACGTACAACTTTACAGTGCTGAAGGTCCTGACCTTTGAATCGCGGACCTCCAGAAGTTTCTCCCATTTTCACTTGACCAACTACCACCATGGATTCGACGCAACGGTGAGTAGAGGTCAGTTTTATGGAAAACTTTATGAGTTCTCCCCTTTAATTTGACAGATTGAGGACTTGCAACTTCTGGATGTATGGAAGCCTATTAGGATATCCTTCTATGGCATTGATCTGGACATGAAACTTCTTTTGAAACTTTTGTCCCTCGCAGGCTTTGCACTTTTTTTCACGATTCAAAGCTTCGCCCATCGACATCTCAAAAATACTCTTATCTGAGCGACTTCTATAATTCTCCTCTGCCATTTTACTGTCAAATTAAATACGCAAAGGCATTGTCTCAATTCCGATACTGTCTCATTGGCTATTATTAGCATTTTGGGTTGTCATGATAGCGCTACTGTTGTGCTCCGATGTCAATTGCACGAGTCAAAGACTGCCTCATAGATGACTTTCGAGATACTTTGCCGGCAATTACGTAGCCGTTTCATTGTTCCTCCAGCTCCGACAAGCTTCATAATATTTTCACTTTTATGGCAGGCGACATAAAAGACGACAGCTCCCGCAATAGCAACAACATCATCATTATCAACACCATCAGAGACCGGAGAATTTCATTCTACCTTCCGCCTCCAGCCGCGTCCAGAACCTCCCCTTGGCCGTCCCTCAATTGTCGTAAAATCATAGAATAAAAAAAAAACGCAACCAGCAGAGAGGAAAAGTGTGAGTGCGTAAATTTCTCTCTGGACTATGGGTCCTTCGTCCTGGAGTCGCTCAAGTGTCCTTCCATTCTATGTCATAAAATTAACGCTTTATATGAACGAAAGCATAAGGCGCTCGATTTTTATCACCAAGGCCAACAAGATGGCCATGAAAGAGTACGGAGCCAGAAGCTACACAGGAAACAAAAACGTTTAAAATGTATTTTTTGTAAATTTTATTTTAACAAAATAATATGTATGGGTTTTGACACAAATAAGTTTTTTTGTTGCTTAGAAAAGGGCTTGTATCTTTACAACTAATTAACGGTACAGAAAAATTGTTTAGAATTACCATAATTTACCATACCATTTACCATAATGAAACAAAACAATTTTACATAACATAACTTTTTTATTTCTAAATTTCAAAATACAAATATAATATAATATATTTTATAAATGATATACATTTAAATAAAAAATAAAAAGCTCAAATTATAAATAAACTAATTACTTTATATTAATACATAATAAATATTTTTTGACAGTAAAAATGTGCCAGAAAACCGATAATCTTTTTAACAGTCTATATGTGAAGTTGAAGAATTCTAAAGTTCTCTCAAAGATAAATATTTTCTGCTCTATAAAATATTTAATATCATTATAATTTAGCAGTAATCAAAAGCAGTTAAAATAAGAAAACAACATGGAGGTCTTTTAAGGCGGATTTCGATTGATAAAAGACCATCGAAGCTATATTAAATGTTCCAACAACATCTCAACTAGTGTTTTGACCCAAACCAATCTAGCAGAAATTGTAATATTATTATAATAAATAAAAACTTTAATACAAAATAAAATAATTTTTTCGCTGTGTCAGAAGATAAGAAAACTCTATAGGCCATAAAAAGTTTAGAGTTGAATTAGAAAACAGGGATCCTGGAGGCGATGAGTGGCCCGAAGAGATGGCCCGGGAACGAGTGCCTAATTATTTACGTGCAATGAAAGTTATGAATTAGGGCCAGGCAGTGGCGGATCTGATGGGATCAGAGCCACATTGATTTCCCACCAAAAATTCATTGCTCTGCCTTTCCTGTCTGGGCGTTGTCAGTCTGGTTTTTTAGTCAGGCCCCTATACACAGTCTCGTGTTGTATATTTGTGTATAAGCGTGATTCAAAGTGCTCTGAAATTTCAATAGCGTCCAGTGGTATCCAGACGTGTTAAAAATTGTACCCAGTAAACTACACAATATTGGCCAACCAAACCGACCCAACATGCTCACGGTTAAGCAGGCCGAACTGAAGACGACGGACTGCGAGACGGAGACGCTGCCGGATTCGCGGTCCAGTTCCAGCCAGGAGCTAAAGAACCTGGAGGAAATGGACGAAATGGGGAAGCCCCTCAAGGAGATCGTCGACTTGCGCTTCAAGCATCCGCTGGAGCACACATGGACGCTCTGGTATCTGGAGAACGATCGTACTAAGTCCTGGGAGGATATGCAGAACGAGATCACCAGCTTCGACATGGTCGAGGATTTCTGGAGCCTTTACAACCACATCAAGCCTCCATCGGACATCATGATAGGCAGCGATTACTCATTGTTCAAGAAGGGCATCCAGTGAGTACATGGTATTCTCCTACGGACTTCGGGTTACCAATTCTGTTGCCACTTTTCAGACCTATGTGGGAGGATGAAGCCAACAAGTTCGGCGGTCGCTGGGTCATCAATATGGGGCGTGGCCCCAAATGGGACGTCGACAGGACTTGGCTGGATGTGGTGAGTAGCCGGCGGAGATTTGTGTCCGTTGGCTGTCGCATCGGCTCGAAAGCCCCCTCCAATCTTGCAATCTCCAACCTCCATTTCCCTTTTCCTATTTCCGTTCCCTGACAGCTACTCATACTGATTGGCGAGGCCTTTGACCACGGTGAAGAAGTCTGCGGCGCTGTTATCAACTTGCGTGGCAAGAGCAACAAAATTTGTACGTATTATACTCGGAGAAATATTACGTTTTCCATAATAATTATATAGAATATTTCTTTTTTTAAAATAGAAGTTAGCAAGCTTAAAATTAAATTGTATTCTTAAAGGTTTCAAATATTAAGAATTAATATAAAAGCATTAAGTTACGAATTAACCATTATAATCATGAATAGCATTAGAGCATATTATGCATTGAAATTATTCAGTTAAAGAATCTTACCAATAAAGCTTAATTTAATTTTAATTTAAAGCTTAAGTTTACAGCTTTTATACTTTAAAGATATCATTAGAAAATAGTTATAGCAAATAATCAACTTTTCAAGAGCTTAAAGAATTGACTCTTAAAAAAGAATTGGAAAACCCACCCAGAGGCCAATATTTTTTTCCAATTTTTATTTTTGAGTGCAGACTAACCAAAAGAACTAGTGGCCTTTGAGCCGCGCCATGACAACTTCTAACTTCTGACTCATAACTCCATGACCCAACACACCCCCTATACTCCTACAACCCAGCTGAACCCTACTTTACTCCCAACAGCAATTTGGACCGCCAACGGGCACAACGAGCCGGCCGTCATGGAGATTGGACTGAAGCTGCGCGACCTGCTCGCCCTTCCGCCCCACCAGCTGCAGTACCAGCTGCACAAGGACTCAATGTCCAAGCAGGGATCGGTGGTCAAAGCGGTTTACTCCATATAAGCCGCCTCGGACCCTGATGCCACTCCGTCCCGAAAACCAACCAACCAACGCATTTTCCATGCCTGCCGCCTCCAGTTGCTGTTTTCAGCGCGTGTATTCCAAAAACGTAAAAAAAACGAGCCCCGATCTAGGACGGGTTTTTATGAATTTGACCATGTTAAAAAATTGCAAAGAAACCTGCAAATGTATTATGTTCTATGGGAGAATCATAAGTGAGGTTTGGTTTTTGTTGTCCATATTCCTGGGGCTATCAATTGGGACTTTTGCTTCAACTCAAAAATGTATAATAAATTGTGTTCTATTTTGCATTACCTATTACCAGTAGGTAAAGAAAGCTAATATTAAGCTTTAGATGGTATTGACTTAAAATACTACTTTTGTGGGCTAATGGTGACCCCAAGGAGTTGATTTTATGCCTCTGGCGGGCCGAGATACTTTACGCTTCAGGAAATGTTATGCAAACATATGCCGCACCAGAGCGCAAATAAAATGGTTTATATACACTTACAGCTTTGTACTTTTAGCCGGGCAAACTAACTGTACAAACTGGCTAGAAGTGCACAGTGACTGCAAAAGATAAACGTCCACTTGGCGCGCTTGGCCGGCCGAGCGAAAAACAAAAGACCAAAGAACCAGAGGACCAAAGGACCAGGAACCGAAAAGGGTCAACAATGGCGGATTGTCCGTGTCCACAGGCGAGCTTTGGCCGGATCCGGTGTATCTGGTCCTGGCGTCGAGGGGCTAGAATTGCAAAACTGAAAACTGAAAACCGAAAACTGGAGACAATTGAATTTTGATGAAAGGCCCAAAAGCGGTGCAAGGAGGGCAAGCATTAAAATTCATGCCAAGTGCTTCGAGTTGGAGTTGCACCCTTAAAGAGGCCAGAAAGTAGCGCCTCAATCAACATTCAAATGCCGTTGGCAGCGGCACGTGCATCGGTGGCATCAACTTCATTATTATGGCCAACTTTAAGCTGACAAAACTCATCTTCTATCCCGGAGTCGTTGGCTGCATTTTATGGGCCCCGGGCGGTGGCGGCTTACACGGGAGCTGTTAAACCGAAACCGCATCAAAACCGCACACGTCCCACATGGCATGGCATGCAGCTGCTCTCTCACCTGCCGCCACACCACCTGCATCCGTGCACCTTTGACATATTGCCAGGGCGAGACCCGACTCCTTTGGCCCGGTAGGATGCGCCGCAAACTTTTTGCCTCCAGATGAAAATTTACAAATTAGTTGCTCTAAACGTGACATCCAGCTTGTTGTTGCCACTTTCTGTGGCATCTAAAATTGGAGTAATATTTTTATCTTTTTGTTCTCTAGCCATGCCAGTAACATTTCAATTTAATTAGCAAATTAATTAATAATTTTGTCATTAGTGGATGGGTTTTTGGTGGAATGTACTTATCTCTTTCATGGACTTTATAGTTGGTGATTCAATCAGATTAGAGGTATATCATTCTCATGCTTTGTATGAATTACTTGATTATATGTAGATATTAAAAATATTTATCTATGAATTGCATTTAAAATTAGTAGAAAATAAAATACACTGGGTTGGATGGCTGCCAAGTATATTAACTCATTTATAGACTAGAGTATATCCATCATCGCATCGCCCGCTTCCTGTGCGATTCCCATGCATATATCAACATTTTTCATATGGCTAACAGAAACCACACTGAGCTCTAGCTTTGGTTTTTATGGCCACACCAGCTGGACAAGCACTAGGACAGCACCACCCACTGGAACCCACCGCTCCACCCACCTCCTATTCAGCTTTTGTTTATTCTGTGTATTGTCGAGACCCGCGCGTTCGCTGGTTTCAGCTTTTGGTTTGGTCTCGTTTCGATCTTTTTCTCTTTTGGCAAAACAACACTACACAACATAAAAATAAATTGCACTTCTGACACTTGAATACAGTCGAGGAGTTGGAGAAGTAGTGGAGTGGCGGAGTCGTATATACATACATACATAAGTGGGAGTTGGGAGGCAAATCCAGAGATCCAGAGATCCTGGAAACTGGCAACTGGAGGGCAGCTGCTACTGTTTGGGCAGCGACACATGATTAAGTGGAGTTTGCGGTTGGCTTTGTTCGGGGAATACGCATGTAAATCTATTTGGGTATACATTATCGTCGTCCAGTTGAAGCTTAACTTTTATCATATAATAAAATGTAATTTTCCAACTCGTAACTCTCTGGTAATTAGAATTTATAGCGAACTTAATCGCTTCTGAAGGGAAGCGTGTCGGCTGGGTGTATCAGCCTTTTATTTCATTAATTTGGCCAAGAACAGAATATTATGAGCCAACTTGCAGCAATTTTTACAAATATATGGTCTCGTCCCGCAAAGAAAAAAAGAAGACGGGACCAGACCGCACCTATGCGGAGCATTTGAAATGAAATATTAATTTGAGAAATTCCAAAAAAGCACGACGCTTCATATTTCTTTGCACAAATTTTTATTATAAATTAATAAGAATTTATGACGCTGGTTGAAATGAAAACGAAGCCCTTAACCACACGGCGGCAGATATATTTTAGACCTTCAAAGAAACCGAAACCCGAAGACAGCCAGACGACGGCCAAGATATTTGTCTACAAATATTATTGCTATTCGAAATGTGTAGTAGCTGCTGCTGCGCCCTTGGGTTCGTTTTGGCAAAAAATTCCAGGCTAGCAAATATGCAGGTCGGAATGCCTCCGCACTCGGCACCAATGGTAATGGCAATGGTACAGATACAGGCCAGTTTCTTGGTCTTTTCAGCCAGGCCTACCCTACCAGGTCTTCCGCCCTATCGCCCCTCCAGATAATTCTTAATATTTCGCTTCATAAATATGTAAATAAATGCCAGCACGGCGGCACGAAGGAAAGACAAAAGAAATCTTGGCCAACTCGACTCCTGTATTTTGCTTGACCATTTCCCAGAAAACGGGACCCAACCAAGACGTTCGTGTGATAGAAACTATAAAGGAATCCCACAAAAACCGCACGGAACTCACAACGGGATATTAAGCACAAAGTTGGTCACAAAGATTTCGGATGGAGCCAACTTAATGAAATAAAGCACTCGCTTAGCTCGCACACATATTCGAGGACCCCTGCCCCAATCCCAGACCCAGGCCCGGCCCAGACCCATTTCCAGGATCGGAGCCAAAAACCTTAACCTAAAGCATAAGAAGTCAGTCATGAAAAGCGTACGTGAGCAATGAAAAAGTCGCAAACACTTTATTATACGTTACAGGAGGGAGGATAGGATGGAGGGATTGGATTTTCCGTGGCTTCGGCTGCTCTGAGTTTCTGGTATGGTGTGGCAGCCACATCAAAATGCTACGCGCTGCGTATACGTAATAAGTCCTATGTAGATGCAGTCACCCACTCACCCATTACTCATACGCCGCGTCATTGTGCCGCAGTCAGATAAAGACCGAGACCGAAAACCGAAAGCTGAGAACGAAAGACAAAAGACGGCCGCAGGATAGTGGAAAGGAACAGGGGAGACAGGGACAGGAAAGACAGTCCAGGATAGCACAGTCAGGACACCAGCAGAAGGACACCAAGGACGATGGCATTGCACATAATGGCCGGCTCCGTGCTGCCCGGTGCGTGAGCAAGGTATTTTGGTATTTTAAACATGTGCCCGCTGGCTAATGCATAGTTTATGGCCATCTGGGCCTAGGGCCCAAAGTGTTGGTCAAATTTGGCCAGCGATTTGAGCGTTCTCACGAGGCGGATGTGGGCCAAAATGCTCCGAGGCTATTAAATCGAGCCAACAATCAACTGAAATGGTGTCAGATAAGAGTCAACAAAGAGATGGATTTTACTTTCAATTTAATTATGATTAAAATATTAATAAATATGAATAGAATTTAATTTTATAGGTGTAAATTATTTAAGACTTTCCAAACATTGAGCAACTAAATTCCCAATATATATGATATGTTTTTAGTTCATTATCATTTCAGTTTGGTAAGAATCAGTTTTCCAATTTATTGGTCATAAATCAAAGCATTTGTATAATTCAATTCTATCTGAAATTATAGTTATATATATTATGGCTATATATTAGAAAAATATTTTATAATTTATTAAACCAAGTTATTTCTTTCAAAAATTGATATCCAAATTTTCAAAATATATTGTCATTTAATATCTTAACATTTATTACCTAAGACATAATTACCCATTCTTAAAGAAGATTTTTATCAACTTTTAGAGTATAGGCTAGTTATTCAAAAGATTCTAATTGAGAAACTTGGCCAGTTATTATTTGTGGCAAGCAATAAGCCGAAAACCAGAGAAACTTATGTCCACTTCCTCAGAAAGGTGCAAAACTTTCGCCCGAGGCGCCCTTTTAATTTCACACACAATCAATTTGTGTTTATTAGCTCATTATAAACATTTGAGAGCCGAGGCGAGGACTTGGCAGTCCCAGCACGTGGGTCGTATACTTAATTTGCTTAGTCAACGAAGCAAATCATTGACCAAGAGGCCACCGACTCCAAGGACGCTGGACGTTGGCTCCTCGAGAGTTGGCAGGACGTGCGTGAAGTGGTTAAGGATTTATGGAGGGGCTCAGACAAATTTTATAATTTGTATCGAAAGTGGCGACGAAAGGGAAACTACAAAGTGCACTAATTTGAGGTGTTGAAACGGCTACGGCTACGACACGGAGCAAGTCCAGAGATCCTTTGATGTGCACTCAAGGGTTGAAAGGTGGCATAATCAAATCAAGGTCCGGTCGCCCCGAAAAAGGTTTATTTGTTTTCGGCCGCCAAGACTGTTTGTTTGGTCGTTTTGCGGTCTGGGCTCCGGGGGCCAACACCTCATTTGAGATGCCGGGCACACAACTTGAACGGAATTTGCAAAATGTCTGTAAGTTGGAGCGGCTTATTAACTGTCACTTGGCACAATTTAAATAAATAATCCGTCGCGACTTTATCCTCACATACTTTTTAATAAGTATGCAAATAGCGAGTCGCGGGTATATCACTCCGCTTCGGTTCTCCGGAAAATTTCATGTAATTTGAGTTTGAGTTGCTTGTTTTTGTTTGTTATTTTCTGTTCGGGCCAAGTTGTGTCTAGACTCCAGACTCTTAAAGCGGGCACGAGATTATATGAATTTCATAATGTTCCGTCTTCGGGGTGGGGCTGGTTGTTTTGGGACGTGAGTTGCCAAAATGCTGGCTCCAAGGAAAGAGGTCATA